TGATTTTTCCCCTCATTTAAAACAATTTCAACGTCAGCAGTTGAGGTTTGAACTCCATACTGAGATGTTCGAAAAAGTACTACCTTTTGACCATCTCCTTTTTGTATACGTCTTGGTTTCACTTTGTCTGGATGAAAACCAAGAATTGGTGGTTCGAATGCTTTTGATGAAAAAAAAAGATCGATAAAAAAATGCCAAGAATGCGAATTCAGTTATTTACCCCAAATTACAGGCACCATTTGCCCATTATAAATGCGTTTCAATTTAAGTCCAATACTGCCAACTATATGTGCACCCAAACTATATCCCGACAGATATACGGACGACAAATTAATTTTTAAGGCGTTGGAGTCCACGATATTTTGAATAAAAGCCGTCGTCATTTTAATCACTTTTGAAATATTATGAAATTGGAAGAAAATGATTCAATGAATGACGGTAAAACGGAAGAAAAAAATCAATATCTTTTCCAAATATTTAATGATACCTTTCGGAAGACGTGTTTCCAGCACCCAGTTGTAATGCAACATTTTGAAAAGGGGAAACACAAGAAAATCATAACTAACGACGCAACTACATGCGTTTGTATTCTTCATTTGTGCTAAAAAAAAGACGGATATAGTTAGAGAGAAGGATCAAAATCATTGATAAGTCTTCAGTGTACCTTTTTCGATAGTAAATTCTTTGCCAGCTAAAAGTGAAGAATATGAATTAGCTTTTTTAAAAAAAACTCACACCTCGATCTCACTCACAAGGTTCGCTCAACTGTTCTTCATATCCAAGAAAGAACAGTGAGATTTTTTCTCGTTTCCCAATCAATTCTTTGATTTTACCCATTTCACTTTGATTGAATTTAAATTTGTAATTTTCCATCTCAGCATCATACTTGAGATGATAAGTTTCAAACTTTGCAGCACTGAAAAGATCAATGTTTTAGAAATCTTCTGAACATTTGATTATGAATTCGATTTAATTCATACTTTTCCTTTGAAACACAAGAAATTTTAATCTCTTTTTCGATATTGCTTGTTAACAAGCGTTGCACCGTACTGTCTATCGTGTTTTTTATTTTAACGTCCATAGCAAACACTAATTATAATAACACAACAAATTTAAAAAATAATAATTTTTGAGTTAATTATTACTCGATTTTTACCTGACAAGTGTAGGGTGAAAAATAAAAGAGGTAATTCACGACAAAACATGATCAAAAATATGGTTTCTCTTTCAATTAATAAGTTACTCAAATTGAAATAAATAATCGAATACACTTCTTTTATATGTTGAAAAACAGACTCCTTGTTAACAACTAGAAGTATACAGAAGAATTTAAAAAAATTATGACGGTGAAGTACGTCAACATTTCAAATTGTTTTGCGCCACGGTGGAGCGAATTGAATATTTTTGCACATATTTGAGTGTTCAAGTTACGCACCTTTTATAGCTCTTGAAGGTGTTTGTAATGTATCGCATCGAACATATTCGCCATACCTTTCATGCGTCTTAAGCGAAAGACATGTGACTTGGTACATTATTGATTGGAAATAGATCATTCATCGACTAGATAATCGAACTGCATAGGAAATACCAGATCGTTTTCGATCTATGAAATTACGTTTTTAAGTCGAAATTACAACACCACATTAAATCAACGGAATGTCATTATTTTTCTAATTGTAATGAATGTACACGTGTTTGAGGTATTTATTTACTTGAGATTCACAAGTAGATTGACATCACATATAGTTCACTGTGGCAAACAGTTTGCATTTCAAATGTTCCAATATTTTCTAAATTTAAATATTTCTGTATTCTATTTTGTTGTTGTTAGCAATTCCCCATGTATTTTATTTGAATAAATTTGTAGAGTATTTAAATCATTTCTTACGAAAAAGTCCATGAAAAATGTAAATCATTGGAAAGTGTTCTCATTTTGAAAATAATCAAGAAAAAAATCAATAAAAACAACAGTTTGAATAAATTTCAACGCATTTTATTTATATAATCTTGTTAAGCTGGATGAATTTAACTGTAAATGTCGTCATCAATTCCCCTTTTTTCATCTTTAGAATTGTTTCGTAATACCAAAGTCGGTGGATCTGGTGCATTTCCGGTCTTTTCCTTTACATTTAATTCTTCTTCTTGTGATAAATCATACTGAAGTTTAATAATTTTTCCATCGACAGTTTTCACAAAGAGTAGCATGATGAGTCTAAAATGATAAAAGAGAAGAAAAATATGGAATGGTCAAAAAAATAGCCAATTCAATATTATTATCTTAGTTATGCGTCTAAAGAAACCAAGGTAAAGTTCCAACATATTTCAATTTTAACTGCGAACATGAAATAATTTGAATTGTTTATTTGCACGTTTTTGCATATTTAAACCACATACAAATGCTCTTCAACTCCTTCTTTTCTGGGTATGCAGGGTTTCACCATTGCATTCAGGTATGCGTTTGAACAAAACGACCCATGAATTTCTACAAACGTTTTATGGCATTTGAGAAAAGAAGGTATTTGGATTAGCAGAAGAGAAAACAATAGATATTTTAGAATGTTACAGAAAAGATATTTTTGTTTCGCATCCTCTCTGCTGGTCATAAAAACAATTTCTCTTTGTTTTATTTCTTCTTTCTGCATACTTGCCATTTTCTCAGCATGTTTTCGGCTTTTTGGATATTTGAGTTGTGATAACCTGAAGTTTTTTGTTAAAAGTAAGCGAAATATGTCAACAAACACGCAAATGTTTGAAGTTTTTTTGAAGCTGGTGGTGCATATAGAATATGTGTATGACAACAGGAACTACAACAAGTTGTTTGAGAAAGTGCGAAAGAAGTACAGCATAACACTACAAAGACGATAAAATGCGAACATAGATTGAAAATCAAATATTCGTAAGGGAGAACTTTTTTCGTGAATGTTTTTGGAAACTATTACTGATAATATGCTGCTAAACGTTCAACCAAAAAATGTTTTAAATATCAACTAGCTCAAAACTCTTTGATATGCAACCCATTTAAAATGGGAAATACAATCGCTGACACTTCAAATATATCCACAAGTTGTCTAAATTTGCTAACACTGAGTTTTCCGTCGATGTTCACTTTCGTTTCATTTTCGATTTATATGAAGTTTTGGAACTTTCACTTTTGATTTATTCGATAATTAGTAATTTAAATTAAACGTACCTTTTTTTAGTCAAAAAAAAAAAATCAAAGAAGAAAGAGCGTTGTTTACAACCTGAATGTTTCTTACAAACTGATGAAGTAGCATTCTGCCGGTGAAGCATTAAGGATATGTCCATGGGAACAAGCAGAAAATAAATTAAAACATAGAAGAAAGAAGAGAGAAATGACACTACACTAATTACACCAATACAACGACAAAACAAAATTTCGGAGCATGAAGAAAATTGAAAAACCGAAAAAATCCTTACCCACTTTTATAGATTAAGTGAAATATTTGATGATTTGATGGTTTCGAATTTGTCCTTGATTTATTTAAATATAAAATGTATGTGGCAGCAACATCGTTGAAAACAAATTAAAATGAAGATAAGCCGTTGGAACGAAATAGCAACGTACATTATTTCAGATCAGATAGTTTTTCGGAATAAACTACACTCTAATAAAAAACCAAGCGATTTCGATCTGATTTTTTGCACCCTGAACTGGTTCACTCGATTTGGTGTTTAAAACCGAATACTTGCATTGCGAAAAGGAAACGCATTTCTGTCAGTGTGTGGGCACTGGCAATGCATTTGTTGTGCGTATGAATGTAAACAGTGCGATAATGAAACAAACGAAGAACGAAAACGACTGATTCATCGATAAATAATACAAAAGACTATCGCTTTCAGTTGTAGTGTTTATGCTTTACATAAACAGATTAATGTAAATTGATATATTTTTATACTTTGACTTGCCATTGTTTTGTCGACTGTTGTACGGACGTTTCATTTCAATTCTTGCGATTAAGACAGCCACTTTTTAAAAGACAAATTAAATTTGCTTGCCGATAAAGAGACACTCGTTAACTCCAGACGATTTTTTGCGTTTCAAAAGAAATAGTGTTATTCCCTTTCTCATACGATTTTAACGTTAATTGTTCAGTTTTATATTACAAACATCAGCAGAAAAACTCAATTGTGTACATAAATAGCAGAACGAGTGCAAATTCCGTTTTTCATAGGAATTTTTTTTTAACCATGTAAGTGTTTTTTTGTTAAAGACATGTTTTGCATAAAAAATTACAATTTGTGCTTCATATAAATCATTATTAATTGAATCGAAATTTCCAGTGAATCAAAATGTCACCATTAACGCACAACGGATTAAATCGCTTCAAGGCATTGTACTTGAATGAGGATGGAGCTGATGTGTGGTTTAAATTTCGGTCAGACCGAATTCCAGCGCACAAACTAATCCTAACTACAATGAGTCCATGGCTAAATACAATGTTTTTCGGTTCAATGCCCGAAGGTAACGAAGTCGACATGATCAATTCACAAGTGTCGGCCAATGCTTTCAAAGAATTTTTGCAATTTTTCTACATGGATGATGTAAACCTGAGCATTGATCACATTGAAGGTGTAATTGATTTGGCAAAGCAATCATTAACCGATCACATTTTTAACGAATGTGAGAATTTCCTCATGAAATCGATAACAACCGATAAAATGTGCTTTGGATATCAGTTGGCCTTGCGCTACGGTGCCAATAAATTGAAAGCAATTTGTGAAGAAGAGATTTGCGTGTATGCTGAAACAATATTGCGTTCATCAAGTTTTTTGGAGTTTCCATATGAATTTCTTGAGAATCTTTTGAAATGCGATGCATTGGCATGCGAAGAGAAAGATGTGTTTAATGCATGTATTGCTTGGGCAAAATCGGTTTGCAAACTACATGAAAAGGATCCATCAAAAGCTGAAAATTTACGTGCCGAACTCAAAGACACCGTTTATCAAATTCGCTTTGTTTCGATGACAAAAGAAGAGATCGCCAGTTGTATTGCATCTTATCCGGGCCTTTTTTTCGCTGATGAATTGGAAGAGATCATTTGTATGAATGGCCAAGTTGGCGAAGTCATGGCGAAAAAATTCAATTGGTCACCGCGGTATTTCAATCTTCAATGGGACAAAGGACGACATTTGGATTGCAATCGATTCGCAAAATGGAATTTATGGACCATGCACAGGTTGAAAAAAGTCGAAAAACTACTGTTTACCACCAATCGACGCGTTTTATTGAATGGTTTTATATGTGAATGCGGCGATGATTGCAATAAAGAAGTCGATATTTTGATCACCGAAATGAAAATCAATGGGCCGGATATCGTTGAACGATACAGCGAAAAACAAGTAACTTTGGACTTTAATTATAAACGCAACAAGTGTGAATCGTATTTAGCGTTGGTAACGTTGAAGAAAGCATTGTTGCTTCGGCCCAAGTATAAATATGAAATCAAAATTTCAATCCGACTCGATGAGATTGAGAAGAATAAAAAGTCTTTCAGTAGAACCACTTATAAGAAAAACGTTCTGTTGGACTTTGATATTAAGTTGCGATTTGAAGAAAAGTATGGATTCATTTCACAACTCAATCTCATCCGCTTTGATAATAAAAATATTGTCCAGAAACTTATTCACAGTCCATTGGCATGGTTCGGAAAGGAACATTGATGGCAAAGCCGTAATGTAGTTTAAGCTGCATTTTTACAGATTAAGTTTTATATCAATATTAATTTTAAGTTTTTTTAATTTTCTTATTTTAAAGCGATTTTTAGGGAGATCTGATGAAAAATGTATTTGGCTCACTTTAGAATTGAAATAAAACCTCATATTATTAAAACTTAGTTTCAAAAAGAATTAATTGTTATTGATTATAAGATTGAAATTTAATTAATTCATCAAAATTTCACAATCAAAGTCAATTTTATTGTTTCCTTCTTGACGAATTTCATATTTCATCACACTGATTACATCATGCAGTTTGCTTGGACATTGTTTACAGTGTTAATGTAGACATACTCTAAATATGCTGATCACAGCGGTTTTTTTAATGTATACAAGCCGGCAAATAATTCTGTTTCGTGTTACAAATCAGTACTCATACATTTATTCGATAACAAAGTCGCATGCGTTAACAAATGCATTTAGCTATGTTTGTATGTGGAGGAGGAGTACATTTGTATTGGTGCCCAATGTATGCATACTATAATAATACTGGATTTTGTCGAAGTCGATGCGATGTTACGTTTTCAATTCAAAATTAATTCGTTCGTTGATATCAAAGATTATAAAGCGAAATCAAGCTAACAATAGCACCAAAATCTTATCAAAGTAGTTTTTTACTTATTTGTATTTGTACACATTATCAAGACATAAATGATAGATCAATTCCATTTTCAACCTTTCAAATAAGTGCGGCAACAATTGAATCCCTATTGACAAATTATTGTCTATTTTGAAATTTAAAAAATTCAAATACAAATATCTGATCAAAAACTGTATTTTCAAGAAAATTTTAGTTAGTTTTATATTTATTTATAGCTATCAAAAAGAAATAATTTTTAAATTTTTAAAGAAATTATAATTTTATAGTTTTGATTGAACTTGTTTCGAATTTGGCGCGAAATCGTACATTTGACTTTTTGCTGATGTCATTTTTGTAACGTCAAATGTGTTATCAACAAAAAACGAACGACAACCAAATTGTAAAACACAAACATTGAAAGTATACTGCGCTTGTGCATTGTTATTTCAAAAGAAAAACGTAAAAATCTCTTTAAATTTTTCGTTTGAAAATTTAACCGATTCGATAAATATGAACAGAAAGATAAGAACAACACGTAGAAGAGGTAAGTTTTATGGATTTTATTTTTTATATGACTCAATAAATCAAAAAAATGTTTTTGGGTACAAAGAAACAACTTGTATAGGGTGTTTGGGTTTGCTCCATGAATTTTATGACAACAAAGTAAATCTTTATAAAAATCCAAAAGGATTCATTTTTAATCGTATCGATTTTACGTTCTTTGTACCCAAATTGTTGTTGGATAGTGTTATTCTACGCGCACTGAATAAATTTAGCCGGCTTCGGAGTTTGTATTGCAATAAGCACCGTGGAATCGTTCCTCTCTTTCATTCTCATACAAAATCAATGGTGGAACGATGATATGTTGCTGAGAGCAAAACACTTGCACATTTTTCACTAAGCTCGTTGAGTTTTTAATGTTCTGCTTAATAAATAAAATCTATTAATCAACAAATGAATACTATTTCAGTTTCATCCGGTTCATCAGCTCAATCGACCTCAATTCGCTTGACATCTTCACCGACCAAAAAAGAAAACGGCGAGTCTTCACCAAAACAATTAACAAAAATGTGTAAAAATCCACTTGTCAGCGAAGTATGCACTCGGATGTATGAAAACAAGGGGAAAACCGGTGACGTAAAATTCAAAATTGGCACCGATGAAATTTCGGCACATAAATGTGTGCTGGCTTCTCTTAGCCCAAAATATGAAGCACAATTCTATGGTGAATTTGATGACACAAAGAGCGATGTGATCGAAGTGAAGGATGTAACAGCGGATGCTTTTAAGGAATATTTACAATTCTTCTACTTGAATGAATTCCCTTTGACGCATGCAAACATTGAGCATGTTTTGTCATTGGCCGAATTGTCATTGGTCGAAGAATTTGTTGATGAATGTATCAATTTTCTGATCGAAACACTGTCAGTCGAAACTGTGTGTCTCACCTACTGCGTGGCCATAAAACATGGATGCGAAGATGTGATCGAGTTATGTGAACGCAAAATAAGTTTGCATTCGGACGAGGTATTTGCATCAAAAGACTTTGTCTCGAGCAGCCGTGAGGTGATTTTCAACATTCTTCAGCTCGACTCTTTGAATTGCAAAGAAACTGATGTATTCAACGCTTGTATCAAATGGGCCAAACACGTTTGCACTGAAAAAGAGTCCGATCCAGATGTCAAAATGAATTTACGTGCCGCGCTTGTACCTGAGACACCGACACAAGCAACGAATTTATTGCATCAAATTTTCGATTCGGTGCTATGTCAATCGAGGAGTTCATGGAATGCTACAAATCGTATAAGGATATTTTCACCGAAGCTGAACGTGAGGAAATATTTTATATAATTGGCAAAGTACATGCCGTACCACCAAAATGGTTTAGCGATGAGTTACGTGGCATTCCGTACAAGAAATGGGACGAAGACAATAAAATCGAATGCAATCGAATTTTTTCCGAGACATCATTGGCCAGCTTTCATTTTGGCATTGATCGTGTAGCATTCTCATGCAATAAACCGATGTTACTTGGTGGTTTTTATTGTGGCAGTTTATTCGAAGATACCAATGTAAAACACGTTTCGGCTCCTAATGTAAAACATGTACCGGCTAATGTGGTCATCGTTCGCAAACATATGACAAAGGATGTTGATGGTAAAATTGTGTTCAACAGCGATGAAGAACTTATTTTCAAAACGAAAGAAGAAGCATCAGTTAAACTACAACGTCCCATTTTCATAAAGCCACATTTGATTTACGAAATTCAAATCGCTCTGAAGGAAGGAATCAGCTTGAAGAAATACGAATTTAAAAAAGAAAACACACTGAATGGAGGCATACTAGTCGAATACCACAATGAAGGCCAAAAATCACTCGTCACTTGTCTCATTTTAAATTGTTGTAATGAAGGTGACAAAACCATGAATTCAACTCTAGATTTTAAGGCTCACTTCCTAACTAAGTTTGCATAAATTTTGGGGAAATCTTGGAAAATTTTGCTCTGGATATCAATTCCGTTTGATTGTTCGGTGAAATCTCCAACAACTAAGCTGCATTTTCACAATTTAAGTTTCATTTCAATATTAATTATAAGTTTTTTAATTTTCTAATTCAATTTTAGCACAATTTTCTTAATTTAAAGCTATTTTTCCGGCGATCTGAAGAAAAATGTGTTTGATACACTTTAGAATTGAAATAAAACCTCATATTTTTTACTTAAAATTTAATTTCAAAACAGAAATAATTTTTATTGATTATAGGATTGAGATTTAATCAAATCATCGTAATTTAACAATCAAAGGTAATTTCATTGTTTCCTTCTTGAAGAATTTCATACTTTATCACATTGATTGCATCATGCTTCCTGCAGTGTAAAAATCAAACACTCAAAATATGCCGATTACAGCTTTTTTTTTACAAGCCTACACATAGATTTTGTTTCATATTACAAACCAGTACACCTACACCAATACTCATACATTTATTCGATAACAAAGGCGCCTTCACCGATGTTTGCATGTGAAGAAAGAGGAGTACATTTGTGTTGGTGCTCAATGCATGCATACTATAATAATACTGGATTCTGTCGAAGTCGATGCGATGTTACGTTTTCAATTCAAAGTTAATTCGTTCGTTGATGTGTTATCAAGAAATAGTCCCGGAGTACATTTACGTCCTCCAAGAATATATTTTTTTTTGTAAAAAAAAATCCAAAAGCTATTGTTTGAGGTAGTGATTTTCATCAAGAAACGGTTAATTCAATTGAAGGATAATATTCACACGTTCATTAATTAATTTGCGGTACATAGTAAGTTCGCAATTTTTTTAAGGAAAATATTTAATAAGGTTTCCAAGTACAAATTGGCACGCAATTGGTTTTATGTGGAATTTGGAAAATGTAACAATTCTTTGTTAAAAATCACATCGAGATGATTTAAATGTTGTGTCGGTGGATGAAGTTGCAAGAATGTCGAGACTGAGATGGTTTGGACATGTCCAACGTATGGGTGAGTTGCGTTTGCCAAAGAAGATTTTGTATGCCGAAGCAGATGGACCGAGAAACAGAGGAAGACCCCGTAGACGTTATTTGGATTCGGTTAAATGTAATTTGGATGTTATAGGGTATGATTGGTGTAGAGAAACTCAAGACCTGGCTCTCGATAGGTACAATCGGTCTATAAATGATTGTTGTTGTTGTTGTTGTATGCCTTGCGATGCATGGAATATTTACCGGAATCCTGTGAAGCTTCAGGGCACTTATGAGCAAGTAACATACTACACAAATAATTATATGGTCATGTGCAAACTCATAGCTGTCAAATATGCTCATTTGAAAGTGCAAAAAAGACGAATTAAATACACTCCATTTACACAGTCCAACATTGACTGGAATTCAAGTATTTAAAATAGTTTTTTTTATTCAATAGTTCCTCAAATTTAGAATATTAATGCAAACTCACCTTAATTAGCCCCAAATTTGTTCACGCTCAATACCCAAAATAAAAAAAAAGAGTAAACCATTCAATGTCCTTGTAACTTGAAATTCATTGCAAAAGAAACATAAAGATAATGTTAAATTATTAAATTTATTTCGGTCCATTCACTTTTTTCCTTGTGATCTCAATAATTTTTCACATTAACAAATCAATTTCAATACAATTTATTTCCAACAGATAAGTGAACTTATTAATTTACGTTCTACGCATGTTGTGATTGTAGTCAACACAAAAATCGAATGTTGGCTGAGATATTTTTTTTTTATTACAATTAATGTGTTTTATCAACTTATTTATGTATAAAAATTTAAACAATTTCGATTTTTTTTGGGCCAATGTAAACATGAAAATTATTAAAAAAAAAAAATGATGAAAATTATGCTTTGTTTTTGATTAAATAGTCGTTGACATCGGGTTTTTTTTCGTTTACTATTAAATGTTGCAAGTAATTCATGTTGATACACTTGACATTTGATTGATGCAAAGCCTCAAATTCATTGGCCGTGAAGTTTGCATGACTCGCTTGACAAATGACATGCGTTACGTTTGCCAATAAATCCATTTGTTTATCCAGAGTTAAACTGTAAAATAATGCATAGACATTAATTAAAATTTCATTCAAGTCGACGAATCGTCTAAAGTTGTCGATCGAACCAAATTGGAATGAAACTTACTTTTGTTTTGTTTCAACGACTTGTCCACGTCCGGCCTCAATGAGTGTGCGTATACTCTCATTTTTGGCCGTCTTCAAAATGACACGAAAATCTTTGAAAATCCCCTTTGACGATGGCATCACAATTAATTGAATCTTCTTACGCCATCGATGTGCTGCCCTCACAATATTCAAATCACTTCCTTCGACTGGTGGCAATTCGGTCGCTTTTGGATTGCCCCATTCATACTCTTCCTCCTTTACATCGAAAAGATTCATTTTTAAAATTGGTCATGGCATTTTTTTTCAATGTTCGTCTATACTTACATTGAGGAAACGATTTGCATCGTAGCTCTTCTGAATATAAATTATACTGAGCACCCATTTTCCGGCTGCCACACAGCTCAACATTTTTTCACTGCGACTCGGTTTTTCGCACACAAAATGCGTACATGTACTATCATATTTGGATAGATTCTCACAAATTTTACCACCGAGTGACAGAATTTGTTTGACCATTTTGTTTTTGAGATCATCACTAATACATGAAATAATGAAACATGGTGTTTTTGGCCGTGAATTACGTTTTGGCGTGTCTTCAACCACCTCACTTGGATCACGCCATCCAATTACCTCATGCTGTTCCGATGCAATCATTTCTGAAACGATAAATTGACGTAGGAATGATATGAATCGTAAATTTTCTAGTAACTTTTATTTACCTGACTCCGGTGGTGCTGTGTTGGGCAAGTCGACATATTGAACTGGTTCGTCTTTTGTTTGTTTACTTTGTTTAATGAAATCAGCTAGCGCTTGAATGTTTTTGTCAGTTTCGGTATCAGCTGATGGCTCATACGTTAGTGTTCTGCCAGTTGGACGCGAATCGTTGATGTGTGATATATCTTGTTGCATATTCATGCTGTAACATTGACTTGGACTCTCGTATTCATCACCCAGCGCTGCCTTCCATAGACTTCTCTTTACTTCCGACCATGGCTGTTTTCCGAGAGGAAATTTTTCAAGATTGTAACTTCGAATGATGGAAAATGACAAATTTTGCCTCTTTGGTAGATTGACTTACAGTTTTATTTTGAATCTTGTCGATTTGTTCTTGGGTCGGTGCATGACGTGTACGTCGCTCTTCTAATTGGGCTCGCTTGTATTCGATCCAATACGGTGTAGTTGCCTCTTCTGGTGATTTGATGCCAGATTTATCGTAACGTCGTCGCTTTGTTTGTGGCGTCTCTTCTTCCATTTCCTTGAAGCGCTGCAAAATTGAATTTCGTGTTGGTGTATCCAATTCATTCAACACCTCCCGATTGAATGTCGGAATTAATGGTGATGACGGAGTCGATTGCTTCGAATTCGGTGCACCTCGAAGTTGTTCCACTCGTCGATTTTGAATCGATGGCGGAGCATCTGTCAATGAAAATTCTTATTAAAATATGTTTCATTCAAAGCGACTTAATGTAGATCACACCTTTGCCCGATTCAGGCAGAACCACTGATTGCGAACATAATATTTCATCATCCTCATCGACGTCATCAATTGGTGCAATTGCATCGCCAACTAGAAAATTACGAAGTGGCAGACGCTTTTTTGCTGCATAGCATTCGAGTAGCCACGTTTTATTGACCACCGGTAGTCCTATGATGAAAAATGAAAGACGAAAATTATTTAAAAATACCAAAAAGGTAAGGAATTTGTAGAGAATACTGACTCCATCGAATGGCTGCATCATACTTCGAGCTCCGTCCTTCGGGGCAAATAAGTAACGGTTTATTCGCACGAACGAATGACTCCATTACTTCGGCGCCAAGAATTTGAGCCAATTGAAATAGAAATGTGCGTTCATCGCTTGAATACAAGCTAAACACAATAACCATATGAGCCAATGGTACCAATTCCTCTTGGAAAAAGATCGGCTTATAAAAGTATGGAACCGTTTGCAATGGATCGGCAACTGCATTCACACTGTCAGACACTTGATGCAGTCGTTTTGCATTAATCTGAAATGAAATCGGCTCCGGTTAGTCGGTACCCTTTTTTTTTGATCAATTTTTCCTTTAATTAAATGGAACTTACCAGCCAGTTGTGATTGACAATATTCCTAGCTTTGACAGTGACACCGTCCATTGAAATCGCATCGACTGGCAAAATGAGAAAATCGACCGTTCCCTTGTAGTTGTCATCTTCGATAACATCGGCCCCGGCAATTCGACAGTCTTCCACCAATGACTCATGACTTTCGGTATCAAATCCGCGAATGAAAATCTTTAAATTTGCCAAAAACATTACTTGATTGTTCGTTGATACACTGAAATCGGATTCGGAATCGAAATCTGTACACTCGCTGACATTCGACTGTACTTGTTGTTGTGGTTGAGCTGGTTTTTTGAATACATCATTTGCCATTCTGCTTGGACCTGCCACTGGCTCAGGCGACTGTGCCGGTACGACTGGCTCTTTTGCCGGTGGCGCTTTCAAATATTGATCGATAATGTCATCTTCTGCCCTGGCCAAAAGTCTGTCTTGTGATTTCAATGTCGATTGCTCGTTCGGCGATTGATTTTTTGCCATCGATGAGTTGCCATCGAAATTCAATCGTTTTGGTGTTCCTTGTTTCGATGTTTGACCGCTCATCAGCAATATATTTCGTTTGCTCGCCGGCGATGGTGCCGCTGCCTGTTCGTCGTCAACGTTCGTCTTTCCATTATTCAGTCTGTACTTGAACGCTTCACCATCGACAGCTGTCTTCTGGGCGATACTCTCCACAAGCCACTCCAATTTTACTGTGACTGCACTGGAAAATAGAAAAAAGAACAAATTTAAAATTGCAAAATTTCCGAATTCGAAGGGGAAAAGAATGTAAAACCTACTCATAACGAACCGCCAACAACATTGAAATATCTTTTTTCGACGGGCTTCCGATCAAAATGTGGCTTACATTCGAATTAATGGTATCAAAACGTGTAGCACCACCAAAATTCAGTATTTTATTGATTTTGTCGCATTCTTCCTTCGTGAACCCACACATAAACACCTATTGACGAAAAAAGAGAAATCAATTCCAAATTAAAATCATTCAACTTTAAATTCAAACCACCGATTCACATGCATATCTTACATTGCATCCGTCAAGAAAACTGCCGGCTCGTTTGGCATCCTGTAGATTCAACTTTTCGTATGCGACTTTGTATGAGAGATCTTTGTTCTCATTCGCAGCATCGTTGCTCTTTCGTTTGCGGTACATTATGCTCGAATCCGTTGAGATGCTCAAATTTGACATGGCCGAGTCGTTAATCGTTCCGGCAAAATTGATGTTTGAAATATCGATACCAGTCGCTTGTGTATTATCAAAATTACCGCTTGGCCGTTTCTCTGGCGTGGACGTATGCTTTTTTGCTTGCAAATCGATTCGATACTCTTCAATGGATAACGCTGAACCCTTTTTTACACTATCGTGAATCCATTCGACACATAGACAATCTTTTCGTGCATTAAGTGCCGCTTTTAATTTGGCCGTTTCGGCTGCATTCCGTTTGGCAATAACAACATCAATGTTTCCCGAACTAAACTCACCAAAATAGTGACCGCCTTCTTTTGTGATGATTTCTTCGACTTTTTCTTTCTCTCTTCGCGTTAGGCCAGTCGTTGTTACTCTTAGTTTGTAAAATATTGGCACTTTATAGATTTCAAACTTTCGATTCGTGGCCAATATATTGTCTTTTGAACTCTCCTTCCATACTTCATTCACCCAAGCAGCTTTCATTATTTTCATATGTGGATAGTTGGTGGCATGCTATTTGAAAAAAAATGTGCATTAGATACGAAAGTTGGCCACGATTGACATTGAATTTACCTCGTATTTTTTCGTCCGAATGCTGTCGGTTACCAAATGTGTAACTGCTTCGGCTAATTGATCGATGCATCGCCCACCCATGAATCCAACCAGTCTCTTCAGTCTTGTCTACAAATTAACATGTAATATGTATTAAAAATAATGAACGAACTTTTTGAGTCATATGCATACCTTCTCTTGAACATCAAACGACGACAAACATACAATCAAGTCACGCATCGCTAAATTGAACATTGGCGAGTCGATATCTGGCAATGTCACATTATCCATTAGACAACTTATAACACATCTTGGTCCGAGAATTCTGCGAAACAAATATGAAATTCATTCATTCTTTCGAAAAAATATATATGACCAAACCGACGGTAATCACTAAAAATATGTTCTAACCTCGGATTACAGTCGGTAATCCAAATTACTTACAGTGCTTGTGTATTTTTCATCGACTCAAAGCAGTCACCATCAAAGCTATCGAAGACAACGATGTGTTTTTTCGTAAAATTGCTCGACAAATCCAAGCATTCGGCTGGCGTTACCTCCTTTATGTTGGTTTCTTTCACATTTTCTTCGAGTTTCTACAACAAAAAAAAACACACATCACATTTTCATTAATGTTTTTCCATGTCATTTAAAATGTTTCTGTCATAAAAGAGTACCAATCAAAGAGTACACACAAATGTCACTCATTTTTTTTCATAACAAAAAACAATGGGAACGAAAAAAAAACTTGTGTAAATACCTCACGGGCAAATTGCATATGCGATGACAATTGACTCTCTTCGGGCAAATAAACCAAGTAAAACTGTAGTTTGTCCTCGTATAAGCTTAGATTTTGTTCCATATTTGTGATTTCACCAACTTTTGGCAGTAAATACAACACGAAAAAAATGAAATGACTTTTTTTGTTGTATATGCAATTCCAACGATGAACTGTTATGTGTGCGCAAGTGGTTTATTTCAGTCGTACTCTCACTACTACTGTCAAGTTACGCGCGTTAAATTCGTTGTTCGTTTGAATGTTGACAGATATTGGTCCCGGTACTAGATCAAATACGAAATTGAATGTGTCGACATGTAGTACCAAATGTTTTCTTATTTGAAATTTCATTTTTTTGAAATAGATTGGTTAATTTTTTTCGGTGAAAAATATTATGCAGGTTAAATTGGATCGAAATTTGGTTTTGTACGGGATTTTTTATCCATTAATCATTTATAGCGTTTATGGCCGATGAAACCGAAAGTATACCGGTGGTTTTTTTTTTTGTTTTCGTTAAAATACAATCGATTTCTCCATGTAATTCAATTTAATTTTTTTTTTCAAATTGTGTATCCCATTCGAGAATAGTTTTATCCAAATTTTACCCGTAACATCTAAATCTCACGAATGCATTTCAATTTTTTAAGACGCCTTCTTAAGGAAAATGGTCAATTCTCGGGAAAAACAATTAAATATGTGCAGATAATTGAAATATGCTCAAGAATCTTGAGTCAAGATGCTATAAGTGTACGTACATTGTAGTTGTACTGGTCATCAAAAATGATCCACTATGCAATAGAAATATAAAATTCACCGTATTTCTATTTCTAATACATATTCTCCGTTGATTTTTATCTACAGATATTTACCGCTTATATATTTACCTGTGAAGAGGTCGGAATCTGTTTTCACAATATAACTTGACGCCTCTCCTCCCTAACGTAGGTGGATTTAACACAATCAGCTTATGGTGTTGAACGCATATCGGCTTATGTGACCATCGTTTGCAAAAATGCGACAAAGGATTCTGATGAAAAAACATTGTTTAACAGCGAAGAACTAATTTTCAAAACGAAAGAAGAAGCATATCAGTTAAAACGTCCATAAAATTTTACTTACAAAATTCAAATCGCTCAAAAGGAAGGAATCAGCTTGAAAAATTACAAATTTAAAGAGAAAACGCCATTTGGGCCACAATTATCGAACACCACAATGAAGGTCAAGCATGACTTGTGATTTCTCTTGTTTTGTGCCTAACTGTTGCGATGAGGATGGTTTCGAAACATGTGATCAAATCAAATGCAATTGCTTTTATCAAATCATTCACATTACAAAGATCGGCGAAGATTTTCCGCATTTAATATATTTGATCAAGAAGTGAATAAATTCGGCGAAAGAGAACATTTAATTTATTTCAAATTATTTGCTAAAGAATTTTCCAATAGGGACTCAATCGAGAGAGATGGAATTTATGTTGAATCAACTCTGAAAAAAAATGTTGTAGGGTTATGTTCGACTTTACGTGTTGACATTTATTTACACTACAAAAATATAATACTTCAAAAAAAAAAAGTGGTGTATTCTAGTACTAGAAATATTCATGAATTATAAAAACAGCATAAATTTTTTTTGTAGTACTATATTCTATAGAATCACCACAATATTTTTTTGAATTATTATATTCTTGTTGTGTTAATAAATGTCAACAAAAAAAGTTGAACATAGCCCCACAACAGTTTTTTCAGAGAACGTTTTTGATGAATACATGTTTCGCACGTGTCTCCCCACATCGCCGAAAACAAAGTGAATCAAAGAAGTCAGTAATTAGTTGGTGATTTTATTTCGGTCACTGTTTTTTATTATTATTACATATCAATTTTATACAGTTGGTTTGCACGACATGCAGCTTTGTTGACGATTAAGTGATTTTTGTTTTAAAGTTAGTATTGGTAAAAAAAATTGAGAGTTATCACAATTTCTATTTGGAAGAATGGATGATGTTTCGGCAGATGAGTTTGAGGAATTTCTGCAATTTTTTTTATCAAATTGGAGAAATTCTTTGAATTCGGCAGCTGATACGTCAAATCACGGTAGAAAATATCGAAATGGTGTTGGATAGTTGAGAGTCCAAATTGTTGAAAATGTACAGTAACTGATCATGGAGAACGATATTTCGAACAACTTTGATAAAAAAAGACCTAAAATTTGTACAGACAGTTTTTTCAAACATTGAACTACAATGGTAAAGTACCAAAGAATCGTTCGGCAGCTGCTTTCAAAGAATGTGTCCAATTTTATTTATTCAATTGGACATCTTCTTCGGAAGCTTCAGCTGATTCGTTGAC